GCAATCGTGGATTTGCCCGAATCTTTAGGCGCATAACTTACTGAAGAGTAATGCTATTGGGACCAAAATGCTGCAACGCCCGTGGCTTTGATGTATCACTAAGAAGGCACTGGTTGCATTGCTCTCTTCTCTCTTGGTTTCCCTCAATCAAAATCAGCGGTGACCTTCCTTACTACGCAAACTGATTCCCAGAAGCCAAAAAATGTGTTTAGTCGCCACTCTCTTCAGCATACCTTTTGAGGGTTGGGACAATTTTTTTGGCAGTCGTAAGTGGGCTAAATTTGTGAAAAAGACAACTAAACAACAGACTAAGGCTTCTAGTCTTTCCGTCTTTGTCGCTTCGCTCAAGAAACTGCGCAAGTTATTTTGTAATTGCTATGTTCAGCTTCTGCACTGCAATACTCCATAATCTTTTTTCGGTTGAATTCGAGATTCTTTACTTTTTTCTTGTGTAAACCATAGAGTGTCGCCTTAATTTGGCAACGCACCTTGCAGACATTCCTCAAAGCTGTCACAGGAGGGGAGGGGAGGGGGGGGGAGCAGGGGAGCATATAGTGCACAAGGAACAGGAAAAATCACGTAAAAACAACTGGAAAACCAACGCGACAAACTTCTCTCAAAGGCCCATATGTCCCCTCTCCCTCCCAACGACCAAATACGACCCCTCCCCAGAGGAGAAGTACGAACCCCCTAATGTGTTTCACACAACGATGCTGTCCCCGTCACAGTCATTGGACAGAAGCTTCGACGACGATCCGCAGTCCATCTGGTTTGAATGATTCATGATGATGTAGGTCGTCTTCTGTTTTTGCAAGCAGCCCAACCTTCATTCCTGGAATGGTTAAACTTCACAACAGTATGATACGTGATTTTTATTAGACGTTATAAGTAAACCGCTGAGTCATAACATGCGCTGGACCATGGTCCGATTATTTTATCAGAGGTAATAAAATTATATTAGCTAAGAACGGTGAATCATGGAAGTGCCAGAACTTTCACCTTTATTGAGTAGGAAACCTAAAGAGTGCCAAGCAAGCAAACCTACGATTCACTTTTCAGATTTAGGTGTCAAAATTCGCCTTATAGTTTTTGCCATCGTCTACACTGTTATGAGCTCGAATCGAGCCCAGAGTTCCATTCAGCATGACTGAATTGAGTGGCAGGCGAATGAATAGCATTGATTCACATTTGACATTTAGGTGTCGAAATTTGCCTTATACCTTCTCACCATCCAGGACTTCCGCGATTCTCTAAGCGGACTCATGAAAGAAAAATGGTGCATTTCGAACAGAAGTCGTATCAACAGCTTGTGGAACAAACAGAAACGTCTATTCTGCAAGAAACAACTGACACACGGAAGTATTCACGCATAAAGTAAAACTCAATACGGCCGGCGGCCACGGACTCATACCTTATCCCACGCGATTTACTAGAAAAAACCTGATGAATTTCCCACTTCGCTGAACGCCCTTCTAGGTTACTGGGTTTGATTTCAAAAATCCTGGCCCCCGAAAACGCTTCTCTTTCTGTAGCTGGTAAGAGCCCTAATTAGACCAAGAATGCCAAAGGAACAGATGACGGTAGAGGTTCATTACTTAGACGAGTCCACACACAGGACAGTTTTACTTGCGCAGCTTTAACGAGTGCCTGTTTTATTTCATGGTATCGTTATACAATGAGAGATAAAGCCAGGACTGGATACACGGAATACCGACCTTTTTTCATTGAGAAATTGGAATTATTATAGACACTAGAGGAAGGAAGGCAATTCTTTCTTCCCCTCCCCCACTTCGGCAACTAATGGTAAGCTTTCCGTTTTCGAAGTGCGCGTTCTTATCTAATCCCAGTGACAATCAGAGCAAGGACCGTCCCCTAAACTATAAGTTCATTTGCAGCGCAATGCGAAAGAGTAGTCAAAAAAAGTGAGGCCAGGATGTTGCTCATGGAAAAGGTGTTGACTGAACAAGAAAGCAAAAGAAATAGTCGCAGTGAGAAAGGTCGCAATGAGATTAGTTTACGGACAAAGCATACTGCGCCGAATAAAATGTAAGTCCGTAGTCTCATGCCGTACTGATTTTACTTTACGCTTAAATACTTCTGTGAGTCGGCTGTCTGATGCAAAGGATCCTGGTATGAATCAGTTGACACAAATTTGTATAAAAGACATTGCTGAGTTTCAAGTAAATAAACATATTCGATGCAACGTGTGGTTTCTGATTTCACCATTTTCAGCATGCAGCTGACGCCGGTAAGATCCAACGCCATCATTGCCCTTAATTTTACCTTATTCTCTTCTTCCCCTTCTGTCATAAGAGCAGTCAACATGAACGGATTGATATTCGTCATAAGCCTTGCGTTATAGAAGCAGCGAACAGTATAAATGCAGTCTCTTTTACAATAATATGAGCAGCTCGATCAACTCCCGGAGACGACGAATCTTTCGGAGGACGATTTCGTTACGACTTTGGGCACTATTCAACTATTACTACCCCAGTTTTGCGAAAACAGGCCGGATCTTGATCGACTTTTTTCTACGGGGGCGATTTGGCTGAAAGTTGGGTTCTAGGGGTAATTCGACCTCCTGAACACGAATATCACATCCGCTCCTCCTGAAACCGCCTGGCGCCCGCGCCACAGGCGCCAGTGATTTGGGGCATTTTGGCGCCGGCGCCCGTAGCGCGGACGCCGAGCGGTTTCAAGCCGAGGGAATGTGATATTCGTGATTAGGAGGTCAAACTACCCCTAGGTACAAGTTTTCAGCGGATTTCGTGATCTAGGGTACTTTGGCGCCGGCGCCTGTGGCGCGGGCGCCAGGCGGTTTCGGGAGGAGCGGATGTGATATTCGTGTTCAGGAGGTCGAATTACCCCTAGAACCCAACTTTCAGCCAAATCCACCCCCGTAGAAAAAAGTCGAAAATCCGGCCCGTTTCCGGAAATCTGGGGTAGTAATAGTTGAATAGTGCCCAAGTTTTTAGCAGGTTTGATGACTTAGGAACTTCATAAGCTCGCAGCAAAAAGTGAGCGCGTCCAACGGCATCAGTCCAAATCTACCGTAGGGGCATCTTTTATAGGCGAGGAGGCGAGGAGGATGCTATCACAACCGAAGCATCATCATGATACCGTAGCACCGACTGATTCCTAATTCGGCTAGCAGTCGATTTCTGCTATCACTCTCCCTATCACACTCACGAGTCATTTTCCGTGCGAACAGACACACATACAGACAGACCGACAGACATACAAACCGACACACTAAGTTAGTGGTTTATACAATAGAGTGACTAGAATACCAGGTTACCTTTTCAGTGACGAAGGTCCTAGGCGTTGCAATATGTCAGGATTACTTGAGAAAATTGGTCTTTGGAAATTCAGAAGTGAACTTTTGGCACTTCATATAGTGTTTAAACGCTGTGGAGTTCAAAATATAACTTCCTTATTTTCACAACTCGAACAAATACTATGTATTTTATGCACAATTTCATATATACAACCTCTATACATAGTTTATTTGTCGCTCAGCTCGGGATTCATTTGCTCCATCAACTGATCCAGCTTTTCCTCAAGTATCTTCACAATTTCCCGATCAATGAACAAATGAGTTTCGTCCAATTCCTAAGATAGGGCAAAACATTGATTCAACGAAAAGCACTATACACACTTCCCCTCAAAAATTCTAAATGGGAAGTGAGCAGTAACTATAGCAAGTGTTCCCTCCACTGCAATTACTATTACTTTTAGCATGTAACAAAATGAAAATGATACTGGATAGACAGACCCATACGCTGCGCGGGCACATAACACCAAGAACAATTCTCTATCACTACAGCCATAAGGTAGCTTCTTAGCTAACAGTAAGCAACCCAGCCTTACCTTGGAGGCCTCGCGGTCTTAAACCGTGCAGCAAACAACCTGACTAGAATAGAATGAATTATCCCCTCCAATAATTGACTCAAGAAACGCACATATCCTCTGGGGTATAAGAGCATATTCGCGGCCAGTCGCAGGAGACGAAGGGTGACACGGCGCGCGAAATGCTGCTAAGACACAGCACCGGTTTAGCCCACTTGCATGCCCTTTTTCTCCCAATTGGTTCAAAACACTTTTCGCCTCGATCATACAACATTCACAATAGACAGATGAACACCAAAACAAGCAAAATAAAGCGAGGAGGAAACATCTGTTAACGTTTGGGCTTTCACACGAACACTTTCACACGGCCAAGGAAATAGGGTATTAAGAGCTATTGTGCTATGTGTAAGAAATAGAAAGAAGGCGCAGCGCGGCGACGAGAAGAGGGACATTTTGCACTGTTGCTACTTCCCATAGACATGTAGAGCCATCAGGTAAAGACCTGTGAAATCTTCTGAAGGCGAAATAATACCAGCCAAGTATCTAGAGACCACCAATCAACCTTGTGGAGCAACAAAACCCCCTACAATACTTTTTACCATGGTGGCTCGACGAGCTTACTCTAGCTTTACAAGAGGTGACAGGTTTCATCAGAGTGATACTTGTTAAACGGGACTAGTGAAACAACAAAAATGCAACCCCCCCCCCCTCCCGAACTGCGCCAAAACAAGTGTCTAAAAACCACAATAGTCCTTACCTTGACAATGAATTTACTGCCTAGTGTTCTCGATTCATCTAAATGCATCAAAAGTTGTCTCAGCCGCCGCATCACATGCTGACTTAACACGCCTTTTTGACACTTTACCATGCCATGTAAGCACATTCGACCAGTCAGTCAATATAAAAAACTGAATTTTGATCCATATAGGTCGGTATAAAAACCATTGGGAATTGAAGGAGTTAAAAATCATGACTAAAGCATAATTTTTATTTTTTTCCAATGAATAACATTTTCAAAGAACAATAAATGGCTACAACGAAAACTAAGACACTATTTTCTTCTTTTTATCAAATGCTGTACTTTTTTGTTCGTGACCTAAGGTACTTATAATAGGCTTCCATCTGCTCCCAGCCATTTTTCCTCTTTTCCCGCTCTTTGAATTCCGCGGGCTTCCCTGCAAATTGAACTGAGTGAAGATTTAGATAATTATAACTTTACAGATGAGTCTCACCTCCTCTAATCGGACGAAAATATTAATATATCGATAACGAATGGTACACCAATTTTCATGCGCGTGACGTCTAGCACCTAAAAAGTCTACCTACTTCAGTTTATTAGGAGAAAAGAAACTGATCAAATATATGCTGTAATAGAAAACACGTAAAAGCAAATAAGGTGGAGGCTACGAGTGCGTTCATACTTTGCGACAGCGCTTCGAGTGCCCACCAACGTTTTCAGCGTCATTGTTTTGAGTGTCCAGCAGCGGTCTGAGAGACTACGAAGGTGATCGGTTATCGCTGAAGACGCTGGACAACGTAACGATGACAGACGCTCAAAACGCCGCCGCGTAGTATGAACGCATCCCTGGAGGAGTACAGCTGAGAAGAACTGGGCCGCTCTTTGAAATGCACCAAGGTTGAAGCTGTCAAGCTAACGGATCACAACCTCTAAAGGAGGACCGTAGTTTAGCAGACTAAGTCGCGCCGAAACGTGGCGTATGTCCCACCCCACCACCGTCCGAATATCGAATAGGATCGCCGTTTATGAAGTAATTACGCATGGAGTGAAGTTGTAGGAGCGGGGAAAAAGGACGGCTCCCTAGCAGCTAACGCTGATCGCACGATTCACTAGAAGCATCTAAGCACCATTCATTTTCGCTCTACGATGACGGCCACTTAAAAGTCTGGCGATGGAGACCGCCCCTTCTCAACGATAAGCGCGCTGGGAAGGATCATTAGTTCTAACTCTGAAACTGGCTTTGATTCAACGAAAATATTCATCCATATGAAGAACAACCTAGCATTTCAAAATGTTACCATGTCCAAAAAACAGACTCACTGTGAAAAGAATTCTTCTTTTGAAAAAGAGACTGTGACATACTGTGAAAAGAGTTGAATGTTACCTTTCACTATCTGGCACTGGATTGGAAACGCATCTGCAACGAACATATCGGATGGGAATTCGATATGAAACTCGTTCACTGCTCTTTCTTTAGCCTCTGTTAACACTTCAGCAAGAATTTTGCAACTCTGAAATAAATCAAATTAAAATAACCATGGGAGTGAAAAACCCTAAGCACACTAGAGCCGTTTTCTACACAAGAAAAGGAAAGGGAACACAAATGATCTTTTCTACAAACACTATGTAGAGGTTAGATTGACCGACTACCGTACCTTTATCTGTTGAAAATTCAGTTGGGTTATTGCTTCGTCAACATTCGTCCGCCAAATGAGCTGACATGCCTGCCACATACGCTTTGGGGAGAAATGTACCTGGAATATTTTTCTGAGGATATTCTAAATGTATCAGCGAAACTGACAGTAAACCTGGGCTTCTCAAGGCCACACCCTGAAAAGAATCTGCGTGTATCGAAAACTGAGTTTCACGTCATCAAGCCTCCTTTATACTCAACATTTTGATAGAGGAGAGATCAGAAGACCCAAGAAAAGGATTAGATATGTACCGATTAATGACTCCGCCCACCTGGAAAATCTACATGCTTATCAGCACTGAAATGTTATTGATGACCAAACGATCAACTTGTATGTGATCTTTTGCGGATTTTCCCACTAAGGTTGTCTGCTACACAGTCCGCAAGGCTATCCCACTTTCTCGGCTCTCCAGTGGGCGGCGAGTGCGCTGCGGAAGAAATAAGCCGGAAAGTACGCCACGCAACCGTACCTTGAACAAAGGCTGCCTCGAACAACCATCTGAGGACAAGATATGCCTGCGGTGTATGTGTGCATCTCAGCGGGACCACACCTAGGTATATTTATCACAGATGCGACCCCTTGCGATGATTCTGCGTAGGACACTGCAGTCGTCTCACTCGTTTTCCAGCTGGCCATCCTCTTCTCGCATCAATAGTATCCGTCTCGCGCCCGCACAGCGAAGTCTTGGCACACTTCTCCAACCCTAGGATCTTATTTGCGCTACCTTTGACGATTCTGCCAATATTTTTCCCCACACGGAAGCGAGACAGTGTACACCATCGGGACGGGTAGAATAGCGGCGGCGCCTGTCCAACACCTTTCCACCGGACGTATCGTTTTCTAGTGCATACCTTTCCCGTCTTACCTACCCTTGTCCCAAACACTTCGCCGTACGGAACAGGGGGGGGAAGTCATTAAGAATCAACTAGCAGTTCTCTATCGCTGACAACCAAGTTCGGAAGGGGAGGGGCGTGGGATTGCATAACGGGGAAATCGCGGAAAGTAACTGCCGGAGAAAATTCTTGCACTCTGGAGTTGTCTCCTTTAAGGCCGTATGGCAGGCCCTCCCCTTACCAACGATGTTTAGCACTGAATCTGCCTCTATTGCTGATTAGCTCAGTTACTCGATACATGGGCCACCCATGAAAACATCAGCAATATTTATGCAACTTCCATTTAGAAGTAACTAGTATAAAGGATAAAGTAAAGAGAAAATAGTATATATGAAACATTAGCAAACGAAATCAAGAGCTAAAAGAAGATAAGAAGCAAACCAGAATGAACTTTTCGTTATGAAAAATCAGCTAAAAGAAACTAACCGATTCTCTGCAATGGAATACTTCTCTGGCTTTTGGCAATCCTGTCTCCGGTACAATATAATGGGGAGGCCAAACAACCTAAATCGGTAGTAATACTAGAGAAAGACTAATGGGAAAACAGTTCACAAGACCATCTGGAAAACAGAAGTTATCTAGGAAGAACCTTGTTGTAATATTCCCATTTCTCAGGTGTCATGCCATACCCTTTCAATGGGTCAGGATAGCCAGCGTCCTTGTTCGGCTTCTTGTCCAGTTCCCATTCTGGGGCATAGTACACCTAAAGGAACAGAGTATAAATGCACATATTCGGTTATGCAAAGTTTGTCGACGGGGGAGGGGGCATTTTGCAGCCGTTTCTCGAGTTGACACGTTTTAGGATAGTGGCTAGACGATCTTAGTAGCTTCACAAGAGTTCACAAGTTTTACCAGAGTGAGATTTGTAAACCGGAACTAGGGAAGCAATGATAATACAAAATGCCCCCCCCGTCGACAAACAGCGCCCACATATTCTATATATGACTGAAATCAGGGTTATTCCAAACGAACCTTAGGTGACAGCACTTCATCCCGCTGAAGTATGGGCTTTCGGAGTTGTACACGGCGATTCCACACCTTCACAAATGGGAACATAAGTCATTATAGTCATAGTCATTTATAGGGGTTAAAAATGTAGTAGAAGCAGATAGTATAGAAAAGCAGTCATGGTCAAAAGATTGCGGAAAAAGAAGTAATTATAAAGTTAGGTAAAAAATAGCCTCCAAAAACCCAAAACTACAAGAACGCAGAAAAAAACTAATCAAATAAAGAAAGTAATAAATCTAACCTCTTTCGCATCTGGTGTGGCTGACGTGGAAGCCAAATCGTCAACTTTCTGGAGAGCAGCTTTTTCGAAAGTTGAATGTACCCAA